ACCACAACTAGCCATTGTCAGGGGCAGACCAGAGTTATAAGGGGCAGTGGACTCAGTACCACGGTCAGTAAATGTGAGGAACTACCAGGAGGCACCACCAGAAGTGCTGGAAGTGGGCAGCTCTGGGGGATGAAACTCAGGAATTGTGGAGAGAGGTGGAGAGAGGCAGGGAGTTTCTCTTTTTATTGTAAAGCCTCGTAGTACCATTTGGCTTTTAATGCTACATGCAATATTACTTTGATTAAAAATAACTTTAACCAAATTCAATGAATACATGAATGACCCTTTTAAAATCCTGAATGTGGAGAAAAGAAGGAAATAGATGACAATAGCCATCTTATGGGTTTGTAGTAAGGATTAAACAAAAAAAGGCATTGAACACATTTGACATGGAACCAGCAGCAAGAATTATTATGCTCATGATCGATTCATTAGACGTAAGAGATGTTATTGATTGTAAGGACAGGCTTTGATAATTAGAGAGCACTCTGGGCTCCATCAAGACAGAACGTTGCTATCTTCTACACTGACCCTTCTTCTGCCTCTTCTTCGCCTCTAGATTTTAATTTCAACCCGATCCACCCAATGGAGTAATTATCCTCACCAACCCCTCTGCACACTTACACGTACCCCTTCCATCATGCTTCCACTTCAGCCCAACCCTTAACCCTGAGAAAAAGGAGCAGGGAAATAGACAATCAGATTTTATAGTTCAGAGGGGAAAGTAATTGACTTCCCTGGGACATTTATGTTTCTGGGAAAGTGAGTTTGGAAGGAAATACTGAATCATGTTATTCAAGTCCCATTCATTCAGTCATTCATTGCACATTTATTGCGTGCATGCAAGGTGCCAAGCATAGTTCTAGGTACTGAAGGTGCAACAATAAACAAGATAAGTAAGCTTCGCATCTCCATGGAGTTTACATACAGTGTCACAGTGACCAGAGCGGGCCTCTGGCAAGGACAGTCACCTCTATTTGCTGCTGATGAGTTTAATGCAGTGGAATGAAATAAAAGACATAAATTGGGTGCCTGCTCATTCACAGCTCCCTGCTTAAGGGGAAATCTTTATACCATGTGATCCTGTTCTCCTAACCACAGCTTTTTGGATCAGTAACAATCTGACCCAAGCGAGGCTATTAGATTCTTTGCCAAAATGAGCTGTGGGGAGGTAAGTTGAAAGGCCATGCAGAGTCGGGCCCACAGCAGAAACCAGGGAGACACCATAACAAGCCCATGTCATGGGCAGGCCAGGGGTATAAGAGGCCAGATGCTGAAGTAGGCTGAGGTGAGCCCTCTGTCTACAAAGAGGAAAATGTGGCAACTATACTATGAGAAGAAACCAGAGAAATCTGACCCCAGAAAGAAAGAGAGAGAGCAAACAGACGACTTCTTTTAAATATATATATTTTTATTGATTTCAGAGAAGAAGGAAGGAGAGAGCGATAGAAACATCAATGATGACAGAGAATCATTGATCGGCTGCCTCCTGCACGCCCCTATTAGGGATCAAGTCCCCAACCCGGGCATGTGCCCTGGACCGGAATCGAACCCGGGTCCCTTCAGGCCGACTCTACCCACTGCGCCACACCGGCCAGGGCTAAGACTTCTTCTAAAAGGTTAGAGCAGCTGCCTCTCTATCTGACAGTCTCCAGGCCCAGCTCCATCTCCTGCCAGTTTGTTCAGTTCATTCTTGGGAGATGTGTCCATGCACCCGATAGCTTCTCTCTCCTTCACTTTAGGCTTAAATCTTTCTGTCTGTGGCAGACGGACCCTAGAGTGGTCCCCATGATTCCTGTTTCCTGGTGTCCATGCCTTTGTGAAATCCTCCCCACCCCCATGTCAAGATGCAGCAGCTCCAGGTGTCAAATGCAGACATGACATTAGGAGGAAAACTTTTTCTAGAATCCCCAATTCAGAAGCCACGGTTGCATCACACACCCATGTCTAAGCTACACTCAGACATGGACTGGGCTGAAAAATGATTAGCCAATAACAATCTTTATTCATCCCTGAGAGCGTCATCTTCTCTGAGCAAAGGATTACAGTAGATAAACATCCCAACAAAATTGGGGATTTCTCAGGAACAAAAAATATGAGAGGGAAGAGGTATTGGGGTAGATAATCAGCATTGTTTACCTTGCCAACAGATATACTTATTTTCTGTCAAGGTGTGTGTGAGTGTGTATCAAGAAGGGTATAGATCAATCTATTAACGAGATTTAAATTTTGAAATGGGACTGTGTAGAGTGCATGGATATTTTCACTTTTTACTTAGGAAAATTTTATTAGTTTATATTACTTGGGTAATTTAAATGTAAGAGGACTGCTTCAATCTTGAAGTTGGCTGACCAGAGATAGAACTAAGCCTGGCCCGTGTTGCTCAGTGGTTGAGCATCAACCTATGAACTATGAGGTCACGGTTCGGTTCCAGGTCACGGCACATGCCTGGGTTGTGAGCTTGATCCCCACCCAGTAGGGGGTTTGAAGGAGACAGCCAATCAGTGATTCTCATCATTGATGTTTCTATCTTTCCCTCCCTCTCCCTTCCAATTTGAAAGCAATAAAAAAATTTTTTTTCAAAGAAATAGAACTAAGATTTTAAAAAGAGAGAAAGTCAGAGAAGCATCTGTTGATGGATCCCATTCCCACCCCTGCCCCCCAGTAGTCACTCACGTACCAGAGCAAGTTTATTCCTCCTGAGGATTTGGAGGTACAGGGCTCTCACCATCCAACCCCAACTCCCTCTCCTCACACTCTCAACGCAGCCTGCACATCACAGACTGGCTTCCTGTGCACATTTTTCGGCAAGGGAAGAATTCGCTGGACGTGGCGATGTGAGCATTCTGGCCCCCTCGGCAGTTCCATTTCTCATCGCATATGAACACATTGGTTCTTACAGCACCGCGGTTCTCAACCTGTGGGTCGCGACCCCTTTGGCGGTCGAACGACCCTTTCACAGGGGTTGCCTAAGACCATCCTGCATATCAGATATTTACATTACGATTCATAACAGCAGCAACATTATAGTTATGAAGTAGCAACGAAAACAATTTTATGGTTGGGTCACAACATGAGGGACTGTATTTAAAGGGCCAGAAGGTTGAGAACCACTGTTATAGCAGGATAGGAGCTGAGTTAGTCTGATCTACTTCCCAACTCCCCAGTATATAGACTCTCTCTTAGTGCTGTTAAGCCAAGTTTATGAGCTTGGACCATATTGAATCCACCAAGGTAAATGTCGCCTCTGAGGCCACTTGGTGGCGGGCCAGCCAGCCTGACCTGATCGTATTCCTGTCTCTTCAAACGCATTCCCTTCAGGTTCCTTGCTTTCTAGCCACATTCATCTCAAAGGGTGTCTCTTTCTTTACCCCTCATTCTGTCTTTCCCTCTAGGACTGTTTCTCTAATTCTCTCTCTTTTCCTACTTCACCAGCGAACCTTCCTTTATCCTTTCCCCTTTCTTTCTTTCTGTTGTTCACCTTAATTAACCATGGAGTTGAATAGTAAAATATGCTGGAACTATGTGTCAAGCACTGTGTTGGGCCACATATAAATTATATTCCAACCTCACGATAACTCTGAGAAATATTTTCATTCCTATTTTACAGAGGGGGAAGTAGAGGCTCATGAGGCTGTGTTGTGTTTGATAATCTATAGGTTTTCTTTGTTTAATTTCCAAAGTCAAAAAAATGTTTTGTGTTTCTTTTATCTTAGAAAAATACAGTGTAAGCATTTGCTTATAGCATCCATCGTATTTTTTAAAAATATATTTTATTGCTTTTTTACAGAGAGGAAGGGAGAGGGATAGAGAGTTAGAAACATCGATGAGAGAGAAGCATCGATCAGCTGCGAGAGGTAGAGTCCTGCCCACCTGATCTTGGTTCACTTGTTGCTCACTTTGCTTTAGGGCCTGAGCACCTGGTGTGAGCAAGTGTGTGTGTACTGTTGTGCCATCTGTGTACCCCCCTCACTGCCACAGTTACCCTTATGAGTACACTACAATGGGGACACATGGATGTTTCTCTCTGTCTCTTCCCCTCCCTTCCACTCTCTCTAAAAATCAATGGGAAAAAAAGTCCTCTGGTGAGGATAACAAAAAAGAAAAGAAAGAAAACTCACCCCCCCCAAAAAAAACAACCTCACCCCAACCCCCCCCCAACCTGCTAGTTCAGGGAGGGCTCTAACCCGCCCTTGGCTGACTGGCCCCAGCACTTAAAGGCGACAGTAAACCATGGCTCAGTTTCCTCCTAAGGCCCTTCTGGATTTCTTCGTGGGGTGTCTGTCTGAAGCCGCCTGGTGGAGTGGAGTCAGCCTTGGAGCAACTCTATCCGCATACATTGGGGCTTCTCCGTTTTGTTTTTATTATAAATGAGCTGTTCAGAGAAAGACCAGGCTTATTTCACTACATCTTCTCCCCTTCTTTCCCCCATGCCTAGGGTCTAGATCTGGCGGTGCCCGGGGGTGCCTACAGGCGTGTGTGGTGGGAGAGAGTGGGATCCAGATTCTTGAAAGCCAGGGGTTTGTGGGGCAGCCTATGTGGCTTTCCCCGGAAAATTCCCCCCGTAGGTTTGGCTCGAGAGCGATCCTTGGGAAGCTCCCAGGGAGTCTGTATTTTGTTGTAGCAATAGGGTCAGACCCTCTGGGCTGAGGTCCCCCGAGCTCAGGGAAGAGGCCATCGCTGGCGCTTAGAGACTGCAGAGGGGACGGGACCTGGCTCTGAAGAGAGGGTGAGCAGTGACGGAGGGAAGACTCATTCTGAAATGAAAGGAGTCCTGGGTCTCTAAGCAGCTTCTAAAAATACCATCTCCTAGCGCTGGGGGCAGGGGGAGGGGGAAGCGAGCGTGAGGAGAATGAAGATGGGAAGGAGGTGGGGGTGTAAGTCAGGTAGACCTGACTTCAGAGGCCCCTGTCAGCATCCGAGGACTGGCCAGAGCGCCCACCGCCTTCTGCTTCCCCGGCGGCCCCGTCTCCAGGGTGTCCCAGCCCGAGCCCTTCCCGATGGCCTTCCTGTCTGCAGGCAAAGGAGCCGGATCCTCCCAGCCCCTGCCATGGCTACTGCCCAGCGAGTATGTCTGTGAGCGAGCAAGTGTGCTTGTAAACATGCCACACACACACACACACACACACACACACACACACACACAGAAATGACACATGGAAGCAGCTTGTACGTGGCTAGTGGTCTACAATGCCAAAAAATGTAGTTATACTTATGCTTGAGGAGGTATGGATGGTGGCAGGAACAGGGCGATGGGCCGGGGTATCTCAGCACAGAGCGTGGGACCCAGTCAGTGTTGGTGGTGGTGGTGGTGGTGGGGGGGGGCGGTGAGGAATACAAACATACAGAATGCAGAGACACGCAAGCCAACGGGTCTCGTAGACACAAGGCTCACATCCGTTCTCCAGGCTTCTTCAGCTTCCAGAGGGACAGGGGTTGGGGCCCCCAAGAAAAGAGCTCTGAACCACAGGGTGGGTGGAGCTTTCTCCGTTCAAGCTCAGCCCAGATGGTGGCGCTCAAGAGCCGCCTCCCTCGTCCTAGACGAGGGCCCAACCCTTCCCACACCGGCGCCTTAAACCCTCCGCGGGCACATAAATGACCTTCACTAGATAGAGGTCGTGTTTCCTCGCGGCTTCTTCAGTGCTGGCTGAACTCGCCGAGGACTGCTCCGCCTCGCCAGCAGATGCCTAGCCGTCCCGGCCGCCGCGCGCCTCGTCAATCCCCCGGGGTGGGCGGAGAGGGTTAGCCAAGGGGTAACTCCAGGCTCGGAGCCGACTGGGGACACGGTGGGCTGTGGCGAGTGCTGCCTGTGTCCTGGCAGCGAGAGCAAGAGCCCGTGAAATCGATCGTTGATGCAAAATCCACCACCACTCCATCCCGGCATCCACATGGTCTCCCAGCTTCAGAAGTGTGGCTGGTAGGGTGGGACTCTTTCCCACTTCGCTCTCTTCTCAAGCAGCTCCCGGGGGCGGGGTCGGCCCCATCCCCCGGCCGGGGAGTGCGTGTGTGTGTGTGTGTGTGTGTGTGTGTGTGTGTGTAAGACGAGGGCGGGGAGCTAAGGGAGCCGGATCCAGAGCCGGGAGACACCGGGAACCGCAGACACTGGAAGAAGCCAAGGCCTGGGAGAAAGAGGAGCTCCCAGGGCTTGGGGTCAGAACATCCAAACCTCTGTAGGTCCTGGGAACGAGGGACCTTCCAGGCTAGCTCAGAGGCTGCAAGTGTCGCTGTCTCCCCGAGTTTCGCCCCTTTGTAAGCCACGCCCACATTATTTACTCTCAGTAACGAGGGG